GTGTGGGTCATTCAAAACCCCATGGAAGAAATATTTCCACATTCAGACTTTTTCTGTTTTTTAAGAGGAAGACCTTCCACACCTCAGTGGACATCGCATTCAAAGCGCACTGCCAAATATTATGTGATGTCCTTTCCAGAGTTAATTTTTAATTTCCTGACTTCTCTGCATGAGAAATTTTCAGATTGTCTTGGCAGTCACTTGACAGCATGTGCAGACCTAATTGCAGAAGTGAATGCAGTGTCAGCCCAAATGCAAACCTCCAGACTGAGTGATTTCTGCAGAATTAGTTAGTTTGCTAAATAAAGTTCCAGAAAGCACTGCAGTCCAAGAAATGATCACAAATATAAGGTAAAGGGCACAATCCTTACAAACCTTGCCCCAGTCTGCCATGCACTAAGGGGACACAGGTGTCCTAAACACATCACTCAAAAACCCGATGATTTTCCATTTCATTTTTTAATGCCGTGGTTCCAAACCCACAGATGTTGTGCATGGCTATAAATCTTGGCACCCTCTCCATTATGGAAGAATTTCCCCTGGTATTCAGCGTTCCTTGTTTCACCTTAAGTCACCCTAATCATGCTGACATCTACTATCGATGATTATATTAGCCCTAAAAGATCCTTAAACAAATGAAAAGGACTGACTTCCACTCCTAAAGTTCTGCTTCCAATTTTCTAAAGGAAATTAAATAATGTATAAATCAAATGCTGGGCGCAAGCCCAGGCAGCTGAACATCGCTTTGTCCTTTCAAAGTGAAGAGGAAGTGTCTGCTACAGAAGGGACAAGCCAAGAGAAATAAAGTTTAACCTCAGCTCCATGTGAAAGTGATTTGGGATAATCGAGGGAATATGCAAAGAGGTTAAAACTGGGACCACATAGTAACAGCGGAACGTTACACAATGATCAAAAATCTATCAGGGGCTGACCTTCACCTGGGGGAACTGTGTGGCCCTCACAGCTCATTATGCTGGAGTGGAGCGTGAAGGGCAGGAGGAAGAGCAGACGAGCAGGAAGGGGAAATCTATTTATAGCGTGTGCTTGTCATGTCAGGGTAATCTTACCATTTTTCTCAGGTTTGCTATATTCATAAATAAGTTCTGCCTGACAACTTTACAGCAAGGCAGCTATGCAGGAAACATTCACATTGCTTTCCAGTTCTTCTTTAGCTAATACACAGTGCTCAGACTGTTGAGGCCGCCACCAAGAGACTTCTTAATTTATGCACTATTGACGGACTACTGGTCCTTCTCCATAAGATGGTATATATCTACAAGGGGAAAAAACACTAAAATTGTGCTAGACATTTTCCTGGTATAATCTGCTAAGCAAGAGATGGCTGTAATTGCCACAAGGCATTTCATAAAACTACTGGAACATACGCAGTTTGTAATATGATTTCCATATTAAAAGAAGATTCTGATCAAGCTTACACGGTTTCAAGAAGACTTTGCACTGACATTTTTGCACACAGAAGATCAGCACTGGACTTCACAATTAGGGTCAACATAATCCTGTTCACATAACCCAGACTTTGATGGAGAGACAAAGATGTGACGTCCAGCTATTAACACTTCAACTATGTACATTCCTGCCCACTTAGAAAATCTTCCTCTCCTCAATTTTAAAGGCTATAGAATATTTTACATGCCATGCAAATGGCCCTTAAAAACAGTCTAATCCCTTCACTTCCTTCAGAAAGCAACAAAATTATTTTCAGCACTGTCACTTAGTTGTTTTGTCTGTCAAAACACTAACTGAGCAGCTGGCAAAGCATGGATAGCCACATAACAGCTACATGCACACAGCAAATTAACAAACATCCTGCTTAGCTGTTGCAAACAAGTCAGGAAATGCTTCACAGCTAAAAAAATAAACAGAATAAAAACAAATACCCCTCCCCAGAATATCTTCTTTTAGTTTTCCCTTTTAAAATGTCGAGTTCATAGACATACTCCTACAGCGTAGAATTATTTTATATTTAAAAAGCATAATGACTGTCATTTAAATCTCGGGATGCAAACTCATCTGAACATTAGCACAACTGATTCAGAAGAACTAACAGATTTACTGGGCCCATAGACTTGTAATTTATCAACAATTATCCATACACTTTAGATACCTATAAAAGATTAGATCAGACTTCAGGAACACTTAATTAGCATAAAGAGGCAATTCCATCAACTGCTATGAGCACAGAGCTTCACCTATCCATCTATCCATCTTCCACACTACCTCTCTCTCAACAGAGCCTGTGCTAATGAAGTGTCAGCCTGTGCCAAGGCTGTTTAAAAGAGCAAAGCAAGCAAAGGAAGTAGGGTTTTAGTGGGACCACAAGGCTTTACACAAACACTGCTAGAATAAACGCCTCCGTAAAGACCTCCAAGTTTCTCATCACTTTGTCTCGGCAGGTTACCAAATCTTGAGAAGGAAAAAGAAAACAACAAAAAATAAAACCTTAAAGGAGGATGGAAAATAGTAGGAAGTTTTCACAGAATGTGGTTGTTTGCCATCCTTGAATTTAAACAAAACCAGGTGCACAATATGTTACTCACACATGAGAAGAGGAGAGCCAGCAAAGGAAGGAGATCTCTCTCTCTCTCTCTCTCTTTTTCCTCACTCCTTTCAAGAAAGCATCCCTGAAAGCACACAAGCATATGCTTCGGGCTCCACTGACGTCAGTAAACACCACTGAAGTAAAGCTTATGCTTACATACATTCCAAAACACATCTGCTGTGTATAATTGGAAGCTGAATGGAAGCTGTAAATCAGAAACAGAATGTATTCAATCAACAAACAAGACATCTTTTGTCTTTAAGGTGATGGTACTCATTCCAAAATTTTGCACTCATTAGAATCCACTGTTAAAATGAGAGACAATTTCTAACACTGAATTCAATCAATTAATTTACAAATGCTAAAACATTTGCACTAATAACAGAAAGACATCACAATTAGCACCAATATGTCACATTTCTTTGGTTATTTGTAACTAAACCCCAGCATTAACATTAAATAGTTAAAATAGTTACAGATAGGTTACTGCATGCAAAGCACCTGACAGCAGTAATTGCATCCTGGGTTTTCCATATCTCTGATGTATTATGTATTTAACATAAAGATCTTCTACAAACGACTGTAATTCATTTTACTGAATTCTCTGTTCACAAGGTGCAAAACCATTTGCATTTCACATCTACACATGCTAAATACCTGACACAGGAAGCCTGGGGCTTGCTGAGAGCCGCAATGCACATAGGGCACAGGCAACACTGGTACATACTAGCCCGCCATGCATTATTCTCTACATTAATGCAAAATTAACCAGTAAGGGCTTACACCTATTTCTTTAATCAGAAAAGTCTCCAGTAAAAGGAAAAGAGGAAGAAACACGAAGGTCTGGTACAAGGCTACCCTTTCCCACTGATGCCAACTGGATAATCTGCTCCAGTTCATTAGATCCCATATGGTAACGTCTGTGCTGCGATAATCGTCTTCATACAGGTAGTTACTTTTCTTTAAAAACCTACCATCTGTCTACTGGCAATAACAAGGTTCACCATGGCCTGCAGTGACTTTGAGGTTATTACTGTCTGTACAGTCATTCATTATTTAAGCACAGGACATTGCCTCTCATGTCTCGTAACACAGAGCAAAGACAACCTGACCTGAAGCTGAACGAGTGTTAATGCATACTTGAAACAGGCACAAAGCATTACAGTTCTCACTAGAAATACAGTTTGGTGCAAGCATGAAGGCACACAGCCTGTAACACAGTTAGTTGCACGTGCTTTTATTTGAAAATAATCTCACTGCGGTAGAGATCTCCCAGAAATAGAGAACAAGCTTTGCTATGAGCTATACCAGTTCCAATACGGGCAGTGGGCTGATGGTGGTTTCTATGGTGCTTGGTGTGGCCAGGGCTAGCCTTACCTAAGCAAAAACCAGTCCTGAAATAACATACTGACTATAGAACTACTTTTTCAGAATGAAACAGTAGCTCCAAGGTGGACAAAAGAAATGCAGATTGCAATATGCTTAACAAATAGAGAAAGTTACCATTCTCCTGTATTTTGCTTTGGGAGTTATTAGTACCTGGATAGTCTCCATGGTTGAAAGTGCATTAATGAGCTAAAAGACACACAGTAATTTATCCTGCAGATGACCTACATGCAGCAGCCATGTGTGTTTGTTTATGATCACTTCATCTGGCAACGAGCATTTGACACAATGCAAAGCTGAGGTAGAAAAATGCCCTGTTCCTCAAGCCGACTAATTAAAGCTCTACTTAATTTGGAAAAGGGCACTTTGAAAATAAACAATAATTTTCAGCAGACTGTAAAAAAATAGGCAACAAATGAATCTCATAAGGTAAGGCCTGAAAGCTATTACAAGCACCAAAGAAGGTGATTTTAATTCCCACAATACCACTCTGAGTGCGCACACAAGTGCGCCTCTGACATTGCAAACAGTACATTCATGTTTACACTTCATTACTAAAAGAGAAGCCTAAGTATGCGTTTTGTACTTGCAGAAGTTTTCCATTTGTTCTGCTTCAAGAGCAACAGAACTCCAATATCTGCAGAGATGATCAAAGCTTACGTTATAATTTCTATGAATCACAAAAACAGTAAGTGATGGCTGAGCTGAAATAGTACCCACCATTCATGTGTTAGGCATCAAACTATGGCTTGCATCTAAAATCAGCACTGTCAGTTGTCACCCTCTGCATTTTACTAACAACCGATAAAACAAGCAGGAAGTCCCATTTTCCCCAGGTAACATGGGTGGAAAGAGCAGCCAGGCCCAGGGCAGTCAAGCCTTGCCTCCCCACCAAAGGCAACTGGGGCTTCGGTGCCCCTCAGCTCCCACCAAAGCCATCCCATGGCCTTGAGTCACTTCAGCAAGGCCTCATCTACACAGGATGTTATTCTGGAACAGCAACCGCATTTAAATTCACTCCCTATCTCATTCCAGGACAACTTCCTCACGTTGACGTGCCCTCAGAAGTACAAGAAAGAGCATTCGTCTGTGGCTGCATTTAGCCCGAGGCTGAAGTCTCATGAGGTAACAGAGAATAGAGATCTGGCTTTATCTTATAAACGGTGTGAATATATATCACCACCCTTTGGAATGAAACCAACATTTTCTCTCTAATCTCCCAACCGTTTCCCACAGAAAGCGTGTACTCTCTCCAGCCCAGGAAAGAAGGCAAGGACGTTAGGAAAATCAGAGCGATTGCAGAGCACAGAAAGCCTGCGTCAGCTGCGTACAAAGAGCACATTTCCCAACCCAAGCCACTGGAGCTATGAAATGGTCTCTGTCACTGACTGGGAAACTACCAGGATGGCCAAGAGAAAAGCAGTGTAAACTGTACTGAGAAACAATACTGCAGAGCTTTGGGACTGGCTCCCCAGATGGAATTAAAGGTAAGCCAGATAATACAGATAAGCATGGAGCAAAGTACGTGGGTAGAGATTGAAGCTTTGCATGTATATTGAAATGACAATGTCAAATTACAGTTTTTTGTGGCAAATACAACTGCCACCCACCCACTCACACAGCCGGTGCACAAAGTTTGTAACTCAGGAGTTCTCCTGTGCTCCTTAACTCTCACAGGAAATACATTTTTGCTGTCCTGGCAGCTCAGACCGCTAACCGTATCCCTCAGAGATCATCTGCCCACTTCCCCTCTTCCCTGCACAAGCCAGCAAAGAGGCTCAGGTTTCCCAACACAAAAGGAGAACTCAGATAGGGACACCACGGCAGACATATACATCCTTCAGTACAGCCGGGCAAAGTTGTAACTTGTAATGGCAACAGGAACACAGAGATGCCAAATAGAAAACACGAATTAACTAAAAGCTTTGGTTTAAGGAGAAGGCCGTGCAGGTTGAAATCCACAGAGAAGTGCCAGCATCTGCTGCAGCATCAAGCATGTGTGAGCAAATGTCACAGAGGCTGCCAGTCTCCTTTGCACTTCCCCCATTAAACCTTTTCAAATAAGGATTCTAATTTTTTTTTTTTTTTTTTTGAGTGTGTGTTCCCGGGTCCACGAAACATGCTAGTTCCCTTAGAAGAATTCTTTCTCTTTTCCTTTTCCTTTTTGTTCTGTTTCTTTCCTCCTGAGAGACGAGTTACAACTTCAAACTATGTTGGGCTGCAACTTCAGTGCTGCAGAATCCCTGCTCACCCGTACTTCTCTTTCCTCAATTCCTCTCTATCTGATTTACTGTTTACTTGGAGAACATATGGGAAACATGCACGGAAAGCATGTATCCGGGTTCATGTTCAGAATAAATACTTTTTATGACTATTCCTGTGACCTGCAGCAATAGACTAGATTAGTCACCCACAACTATGTATAATCATACAATCATTTAAATATGTTTTCAAAACAGAATACGTTTTAAGGTACAGATCAACCTCTATAGGCTCTCTAACACCCATTTCCTACAACTTCACCATTTTCCACCTGAGATAAAAAGCATTATCTTCGAAGTGTGGAGTTCTCCCTCAAACATACAGTGAAGGAATAGAAATAAACTTGAAATTATTAGTGCTATCCAGTCTACTCAGCTTTCTTAAGGAAAGGATGATGAAGAATTGCAATAGATAAATATCTGAAAACTGATGCAGAGGCTGAAGTAAATGTGTGATTTATCAACATGTGCAAAGTAACTTTTTTCACAAAAGTAACTTCCAAAGCAGAATATGTAATTTAATCTAAAGGCAAATAAACAAAAGGCTCAAATATAACCTCACCCATTATACTTAGCAATGGAATTGAAAAGAAATCTTAACAAAGCCATTTTGAATTGAAACACATTAAATCTTTTCAAGTCAAAACATTCTGAATTCTTCTAGGGTAAAAAAAAAAAAAAAAGTTAAGGACAAAAAACCTGATTTCCTAATTTAGTTCTGTATTAGTAACAAAACAGCTAGGTCCTGCTTTACTGTGGTTTACTTCAGATTTTCCCTTCTCCTCTCTACTATCATTCACCTTGGATGTATCTCTTTTGTTGTAGAAAATGGTCTTGATAATCTTTTAAGGGCTGTTGCATATATAGCTACCAGCAGTGAATGCTGCTTGCAGCTTTCCTCCTCATCTCTTCACCATCCACCACGCAGAAGCCAGAAGTCACCTGCCGCAGGAGAGCTACAGAACATCTCTTCAGCCAAACTGCCTGATTGTTTCTGATTCCACGGCTTAAGCAAGCTACACAGACATTTTCCTTTTGTCACAATCCAGTCATATCCAAAAGATGAAAAATAGAGAGATTTCATAAGGCTACTTGGCTTTTACAGCTGTTTTTTTTGTATGAAACAGACATCGGGTGTTATTTCTATAGCTCAAGTACTGCAGTAAATCTAAAAATGAAAGCGGTTTTGTTTTCTTACTTTTTAAGAAATGCTTCTCCCATGTGTTTCTGAGAGGGTTTCTGAGGCACTCTACAGTCTTTCTGTCTCACCACAACAGTGCAGTTCAGAAAAATACTTGAGCAAAAGCACACTTAAGACTCCATTTATTCCTACCCAGTGTAAAGGATTTTGAATCAAGAGGAACTTCAAGCACACAGCTTTCCTGAACTGAGGTCTCTCAGCAGGTTAGCAGTCAGGCACAAGCGGACTTGTGGTACTGACCACACTGCTGAAAAAGTCACGCTGTTCTTGGAAGAGTGGTTGATTGATCTCTGCTGGCCAGCCAGTTCCTTCACCAGCTTCATCCGCACTCAGAAAATGCAGTCTCTGGAAAATTATTTGAAATAACAGATTTCCCTTCAGCAGGCTTGCTTGTTGTTCTGCTTATTTGGGGAGCAGAAGGCTGCTGTGAGGAGAGTCATTATTTGCTGAAATGCGAAAAATTCATTTTCACATGTAATTACTTCTATTAATATGTATCATTTTACATACATAATTCATCTACATACGGAATCTATTATTATTGAGGAAATGATTTTTTAATGGGGGTGACTGAACAATACTTGAGAGAAAATGTTCAAACCAATGTTAATTTGCAGCAAGAAGTCTGGATTTCATACCCCAGACCAGCCCAATCATCCTATGCTTACACCTTGAGAACAGAATTCAACTTGTATGGCTTTTCCAGGCTCTGCAAACTTCCTAAGCCTAAATTTAAACTCTGCCTCTGTCAAAGAGCTTTAAAAGTTAGAAACTGTTTCAGCTCTACAGAAGAATGAAGAGGTAGCTCACTGTATTTCTGCATTCTATCCATGGAAGTATTTTTATTCTCCCCATTTTCTTACAGAGCCTGTGACTGCCCTCCTCTCCCAGCCTCCAACTCATACAAAAAAAAAAAAAAAAAAAGAGAGAGAGAGAAAGAAGAATTAGGTAATACAGTTACTTCTGTATAAATGTAGTTAATTATATTCTCAATTGCTAAATTGCTAAATTGTTTGTTTTCTCCCTCCCTGCATGCTGGGGTTAATTAAGCTCCTTAAATGCTGCATATGAATTAAGAAGGAACAAACAACCAAAATAATACTGGCTGTTCTCCTATGAAAAAAATCTGGTGGTAAAATGTCTTGGCAGGGTATACATTAGTAGAAAAATACTGCTGAATTTTCAATGGTAAAAATAAAGTGACTAAAAACTTTTTGCCATCAAAAGGAGAGACTTTCAAGAAAGTGCACTCATGGTAGGAGAGAGCTAGTTTCTTTCAGAAATCACAAAAAAACCCAGGGATGAATTATTACTATCAAATACAAGCCTCAAAATAGAATCTCTGTTATCGTAATGCAAATATGAACACATATTTGCTATTCCTGCAAAATGTTATCATTACTGTTCCAACTCGCAGGGGACAACCTGTTCCGTGCAGATCCTGACTGACTAGAACTGGACTAGGTTCACCATTTTCACACCAATAACGTTGTTTTGCTCACCTTCAGAAAGCACAGCAGGTAATGCTTATCAGATGATTCTGCAAGGATCTGCTCTGGCTCTGCTGGAAAAGTCTCAGGAGCCCCAGCACTACGAGGAGAGCAGAGCAGCTCCTACAGTCCCCAGTGCTGTCACTGGTCCCAGCACCTTATCTTGCCCTCACTGTTTGCCCTTGGACAGACAGCAGTTTTATGCACTTTTTTGCAGGCTGAACTGATACATTACTCTCTTTTTTTTTTTCTTCTCCTCACTTATTTATTTATTCATGGTCTCTCTGAATCTCCAGCTATTTTCCTTGTCACAAATGTCCCTTTATACTAATTACAATTTCCTGGAAGATGAATATTTGCTTCTAATAATCCCTTGACTTCTCTCATTAATCACGTTATTCTTTTCTTTATTTTTGCTTTAGTCCACACAAACTTCTTCAGTATCCTCTGCTTTATTCAAATAAAGCATGGCAGATCTGCCTTGTCTCCATTCTTTTTTTCTTTTTTAATTTTAGCAACTTTCTAGGCTTCCTTGCTGCATTTTCCAGGTGTCTCTTCCAATGACATGGTATCAAAAAGGCAGTGAAACCGATACCAGCCCATTCTGGTTTGATGCAAGTTACTGGTAATATTCCATAGTAGCCAAGTGCTGAAACAGATGTGTGTACTGCCAAAGACATAATTTGTGGTAACATCCCAATGGTATTTTTGAAGGTATGTCCTGATTTTCAATCTGCACACTGCAAAATCAGTCCAATAGCAAGAAATAAGGCAAATGGACTAGAAAATTATCCTTAGTTCTTACAGCTGATATACCTCCTAACAAGGAGGGCTCAAAACCACAAATCTGAACTAAAATAGCTCACGTATAGGAAGAGGACTGGATCATCATGTTTGTCATTCTCTGCTTAGCTTTCTTTGGAGTGAAAACTGGCAGATGATCTGTCCAAAAGAACCTGGCAGTATTTGGAATTAGGGAGGACAATGCAGGCATTTCTCCCGTTACATAAGTGGCCCATAGATGCTACCATATACAGTGTTGAATGCCTTCTAAGCCTTGTGTAACAACAGATTTTAAATATAAATCAGAACACCAGCACCACTTCAGGCTTTGAAATACAGTTTACCTCTTACCAAATATGATGTGTCAAATTAATCATGAAATTCACAAGAAAAAAGAAACCTCTTAGATGATCCAAGCATCTCCCTGCAAGTCCAGGACTGTTGCCAATGAAATGCAGGATTGGCAGAAGAGAGATTTATTGCCACAGTTTCTTAACTCTATATTTCGTACTTTAGTAAGCCATCCTATCCTGCTTCACATGGTGCGTTTAACCAGTAGTCAAAAGTAATTTAAGAAGTAAAATGCACTTGTCATCACAATATGCAGTGCTGAGCACTGCTTATTTCCTGTAAGACTTTGTTAAAAAATAAATTGACTGCAGGCAGTCTACAGGTTTGGCATTTCCTCTGAAGGCCAGCATTCACCAAGGGTGCACCTACACCAAAGCTATAACTGAAACAATCCAGACCATACTGTTAGAACTGCATGCAGCCAGCAGCTCGCCTGATTTTCCACCACTTGGCTGAGCCAGTGGCCCATTCCTTTCGTGCATCCTCTGAGCAGAGTCCTACATGTGAAATTGGTTTCATTCACATTGCATACCTGCATTACTCTTATGTATGTGTTGCACTAGGGAAGAGATTTGCTGCATAATTGCTAACTGCTAACTAAAAATCACATTAGTAAGAATGTACTGGATGGCAGGAGTGGCAACTCAAAAGAGCTTGCTGCTTCAGAAAGATATGAAGAGAGCAGCAGGCTTACAGTAGTACTGAGGCCAAGCTGAGTTGTGCTCGATTCCAAAACACTTCCCAAAACAAAAGAGATTCATCTGGCCCCTACTTCTCACTGACGCATATAGTCATGTCTTGAATGAGAAATCCACAAAAAGACACCCTGAAAGACCTGGCACTTATTGTACATTTACAGTGACACAGTTGGGGACAAAATGAAGCAAGGAACGTGTCTACTCTTTGGTATAACTGAAATGCAAGAGGCTTTCTTGATCACGGAGAAATCATTTTGCCATATGAAAATGTAATCGCACAGAGTGAGCAGGGCAGTTTGTGCATTAGTTGGCTCGACAGAAGTGAACTGCTGGGAAATGGGGCATAAAAGTGGCAGCACTACAACATCCCTTCAAAAATACATCTTACCTTGAAAATTGAAAAAGAAAGCTTGATACTCACATTCTCTGTTATTCCTGCTGACTAGTTAACAGTATACATTAAATTAGAAGACATTTTAATCTTTAGGAATTAAATAAATAATACTTGGATTTAGCAAGCTTAAACATGTACTTGATTTTAAGTGCATTAAATAATTCCATTGGTTATAGAGAATTTTTTATGCACATGAAAATGTCTGAAATGCTGTAGGGTAATAATCCAAACTTTCACTAGGCCAGAAATGAGTTGGTATTAACATTCTGGCTTTGGTTGAAGTGATAAAGGTGATGAAATTCAGCTGAAGAGTTAAATGCAGACCTGAAACCCTCTCAAAACTTGAAACTGGGTCAGACCGATTTTTAATTAGCAGTTAGCAATTATGCAGCAAATCTCTTCCCTAGTGCAACACATACATAAAAGTAATGCAGGTATGCAAGAGGATACATCAGTTCCTTGGTGGAAGAGTACATTTTGGAGGGCTGTGGCACCCCTGTGCACTTCCATGACCAAGAACAGCAGCAAAATGCTGTCACAAATGGAACATTAAGGCTTCAAATAGCTAACTAGAGATTTTTTTTGTTCATGTTTGTGATTAATTCCTTCTTCTCTATGCTTCATGTACAAACCAGACAGCTTGGAACAGAAACCTGACAAGCTATTTATGAAATCTGTCGCACATGCAGAATTGAAGGAAGCTGACTGCTGCAGTAAATATACAGTCGGCTGGAACACATATAATGAAAACATTTTTGGGTTTGAAATAGCCTCAAAATGCAGCACGCCTCCAACATGACCTGGCTGGATGAGCAGTTTGTAGCTTTTTCTCCTTCCTCTTTAACAGTAAATTCACTGACCGAGCTAAGGGATGTTCAGTAAAGAGGAAGGGCTAGTAGACTCACTTCCAACAGTGCAAAGATAGAGCTGTGTACAATCAAGTACTAAGGCATTTATAGCACAATATGTAATGCACTGCCTGTTGCCATCCAAAGGTGTAGTTCTGGAAAATCCGTAGTCTTAGTGAAATAATTAAATATGTGATTAAAGACCCTACTATGCCTTCGTAAGTAGGGAAAGAGACACAAATATATACACACAATAAGGATAATGCAAGTAAGACGCAAAACCCAAATGAACAGTTATTATGTGAGCAGCTCAACTGAATGAAATGAAAATGTCCTAGTGATAATATGAACAATTTTTTAAAGCTTCTAGCAAAAGTTGAATTTTTCCATCACTTACGAGAGATTTGGGCTGAGTATATTATCCTGATAGCGCTAATGTTTATCAATACATAATAGCCATCATTTGCTATTGTTTGAAGTAAGGGAAGTAATTAAAGTAGTCATAAGCATTCTGATACAACCTGGTTGTTTCCTGTCAGTGTATGTAATGAAATGCCCCTCCCAGCACCACGCTCGCTGTTCATTAACTCTCCGCAATA